TCAGTATGGCTGGTTGCTCCAGTTTGGAGCCTGAAGCCAGGCATAAATCCATGAGGTTAAAACTGGGAAATGTGAAATGATGCTTTCCAACAGCAACAAAAATGTCCAGAAGTTTATAGCCTTCTCTGATGTATGAAATTGTATGGTTTTCCTGGGGAATTCTCCCTGGGAAGGATTTGCTCATTTGTACTTAAGAAGGCCAGTCTGAATGCTTAGACAAATGGGTGGGTGATCTGTGCCATATGAACCTACCTAGATCAATTGCTTTTTCTCCAAAGATGTACTCTAAGGGTCTTCTAACTTGAAGTCTGCCAAAACAGGAGGAGTAAGGCATTGCACATGCTGTTTTCTCCATCTCTAGTCCTCAGTTTTGTTAGGCAGCAGCCTGCATTGCTAATCAGAGGCTAAGCTGCTAAACAGCAGATGCACCTCTGTTTTGATCTGTAGAGGATTCTTGTCTTGTTGTTTTGTTTCTTAATAGACTTCCACTTTCTCATGTTTGTGTCACTTGTCCCTTGCTCCCTCTTTCCCCTGAAGCCTTGCTAAAGCATATTATTTTGGTAGTGCAATGCCTTGGCCATTTCTCGTTACCTCCATCACAAAGGCCTGTGCTGTTCTGTTTGTGCTTATAATGTACCCAGATGGTGAATAGAATGAGTGACCACCAAGCTCATTTTCACTTGTGGGGTCAGACCTTTCTCGGCTAAATAACACAAGTGTTCCCAGCTGCTGTGCAGCTGCAGGGAGTCTGCTTTCCTTCACAGGCATTAAAAACCCTTTAATCAGTGTTTGTTGTTTGTCAGCAGTGGTGTTGAGGTGTGGAGAAAAAGAACAGATATGCTTTGTTGGCAATGTTAACTTCATTTTGACCTCTTATCTTTCCTTTTTCTTTTCAAGTCTGAAGAAGCAGAAAGTAGTTTGGGAAGTAGTTTCTGCAAGCACCTGTGTAAATGTATTTGCTAAAGGAGGAGGTTAATGTCCTTATACAGATACAACATTTGACATAAAAAGATGCTCTAAAAGCTGCATTGAACTGGGAGTTTTTAAGACAGGAACTCAAACTGACATGTATAGGAGATGTGCAGGCTCCCCTAATGTAAGCAAATGCTACAAAACCACAAATAGTCTTATCTAGTTACTTATGCTTATTTTAGTATTTGCGTCCGCATTCAAGGGATCCCATTTGCAATCTGGTTAGTTTTAACATTGTCCTGGAAAATACACTGTTTTTCTACTTTATGTAGGTTTTTGGTTTGTTTGGTTTTGTTTTGGTTTTGGTTTTTTTTTTGGGTTTTTTTGTTTTGTTGTGTTTGGGTTTTTTTTTTTTTTTTTTGGTGGGGTTTTGTGTTTGTGGGTTGGGTTTGTATGTGTGGTTTTTCGATTTTCCTTTTAGTTCTACTTTTAATAGTTCTTCTCTCATGGAGGAAAAGGGAGGAGAGAAAACAGCTGATAAGCCAGTGAGTGACACCATCTCCAGTCCTATTTTTCTTGGATGTATTCTACTCTGAAACAAGTGGGAACACAGATATCAAGAAGAGGCTTTGAGAAATCTCAGAGCTAAGATAATTATTTCCCTCTTCTTTCTAGATGATGTTTGGAAACCTGCTGGTTCTGCACATGCTTGTAGGGTTACTTTTTCCATAAGTCCAGATCTGTTCGTGTTGTGTGCATGTATGTATACAGCACCAAGCACTGCTCTGTGAATGTTGGTTCTGTTGTTTGCAAAGTCTGTCTGTATGGGTGTCCTGAAGCTGTTAGAACAGCTGTGAGGCTTTACTTTGGGCTTCAAGGGTCATGATAGGATAGTTGGTGTTAAAGGCAGAATATTTTATCTTGCTACTCTTCTCCTGAAAGCACCAGAGAATTGTGCTACTGCCTTGGCTGTGTCTAGGGAGTACCCAGGCATCAGGGCACCCTGTGCACATTGGTTAGCAGCATCTCCTGCAGTGACCAAGATGCTCTTTTGAAGCAGGGCTGTGCTCCTTTGAAAAGCAGTGTCTGCTTGCTTGAAGTGGGAATAAGGGACTGGGAACAAGTAACTTATGAATTGTCGTCCTAGCTGTTAAAATGGTAGACTCAAGTGCTGTCCCAGTGGGCAGACACATATTTCAGCATTCATGCAGTGTTCTTCATGTGGCTGAGGCTGCTTACAAAGGAGGGCAGTTATCGTGCTCTCAGGCAAAATGCTAGAAAGAAAACTCTGTGCTGGGTGGGAGGGGATGGACACTCAAACCACCCAGTATGTTAAATGTCTCTGGATGGTCTGTGTTAATATCACTTCTGTAATATGAATGTTTACCAGCTAGAAATGGGACAAGCCCTCACCATTTTACTACCTGAAAGCTACCGATGTGAGGACTCTGAGCTAGTGGAGGAGGTGTCCTACTGTAAGGAGAAGTTTTTAAAGCCCTTCAGTAATATCTCCAGGAGATCTGGCTTTTCTGGCAGTGCTGTCTGATCACATGAGAACAACCCTGATCAGACAGGCATGATCCTAGATCCTTCTGGAAATTAATGCAGACTTTTTACAATTATAATCTAGCCAAACTAAAACAAGCACCATCTTGTGCAACTACGTAAACCATAAACTTTTTTGGCAAGGCAGGTGTGGCACCTTCAGTGTCTGGAAAGCACCTAACATGCTGTGTGGGCTCCCTACTGTACTCCAAATTACAAATGCTAAAAAGGCTTTGATATTTTTTTTCTCCCCCTTTTTTTTTCTTCTCCCCCCCCCCCAACATGGCTCTTGGCCTAATTTGGGTGGGCAAGAACTTCATAGACTGCATTGGGGTGCTCTGCATGTTTCCTCAGGCTCTCATAATTAATCAATACTAAATTGTTCCTTTTTGTGAGGAGGCACTGGGGCAAAGCTGTTACATAGCCATAGGTTTAGTTTGTTTGTCAGCCTTGAGAAGGACTTTCTGTTCTTCAGAGATGACCTTTCCAGAAGCAGGCCTGTAAGGCCCCCTCTGTAGTAAGTATTTTGATACAGGCTGTAGGAGGCTTAGGTGAGTTGTCGTGATAGAAGTAGAGTGTTCAGTAAGTTTGTAATGTGGTTTGATGCTGGGAACCAATAGTCTAGCTTTTCTTGGCGCACCTCTGGATGACTCCTATCTGTGGAACTCACTTCTGACACAAGGAATTTGCAAAAAAGTTTAATGCTGGTACCTCACGCCCACAAAGCTGTGATAAATGGCAGATGCATGTGTCCCTTCTAAACCAGAATGGCTTCTGTGTTTAACTGAATAGTTAATGGCTGTATGTACACCATACTGTACTATCAGGCAGCTCTGCTTTTAAAGGCTGTTTATACAGACAGCTGAAAACCCTTACGAGTCTTTCAGAGTCTCTTACATGCTTGGAGGAAGCTTCAGCATCTTCAGTCTGCTGCTTTTTGCTCTATGTTTAGTGTCACTGGTGATCTTTGCACCTCAGGGGCTACAGAAAGATATTACTTTAGCCGAAGCAATTCCAACCTACCTTCTGATAGTCTAACTGCCGACAGGAACTGGGCAAAAATCTGGTCCAGCTTTACAGTGTTTTTATATTCTAGTCCAGGTCTCTATAAACCATTTAAAATTGCCTTCAGATTTAAATTTTCCAATTTCCCATTTGGAACAGGTGTTGCCAGGTTATAGAAAGTGTTGTAGAAAAGGAACAAAAACATTTTTAAAACTCTGCTGTTACAAATTTTGGCAAGTCTCTGACAGATGAGATTTTTTTTAAAAAAGATTGCCCCACCGAAGGTAAAACAAATGCAGACCTTGCTTGCTTTTCCCAGCTGTCGTGTTTAAACAGGGCTTTTGGTAACGTGTGAGTCTTCAAAAGATCCAGCAGTACAGAGCTAATATGTTTTTGTATGAAAATACGCAATTTCTCAATTGTTTTTCATCTTATTTAATTGGGGAGAGAAAAGGGGTGAAGAATCTTTTTTTAAATGTCAAAAAACAAATTTCAGAGATGCATGTTCCTGGAGTGGTTAAAAACCAACCCAAACTAGGCTTCAGGCAATGTTTTTTCAACAGTTTTAACCTCAAAGCATAGAGCAGACAGCTTTGTAGGCAACTGTAACACCAAGGTGATTATGGCAATGACTCACACTTCCCTGTAAGGCATCCAGCTATCAACACACTTGGAGAGCTGTGGCTTTGTGCATACAGGCAGGGTGTCAGTCAGTGCCCACTTACCAGCCAGCTCCAAACTGCTGAGCTCCTAATGGTTTTGACAGCAAGCTGGGATATTGATGTGTTAGAGAGCAACTCTGGTCCCCCCAGGCTTGTGAGAAGCTTAAGAAATGGGAGCTTGGGAGGGGGATTTGCAAGGCAGGTTTAGCTTCCCTTTTCTTTGCCTAATCCTCATGGGACTTGTTTCAAGAGTCTCCTGAAATCTTTCTGTGAGCAGGTGGTTGGGTTTGGGTAATAGAAGTCTGACTGACTACCTGCTACCACTGAGTGGGGTAGCATAGGAAATGAAAAGGGCTGTTGCTATCGTGTCCTGCCAAAGCTCTATACCAATGGTTATGGAAAGGGGACTAGCAGTCAGGGTCCTCAGGAAAACAGTATGAAAATAGGAGAGACCTAATTGTCCTTACAGGCAGTAGTTTACTGCTGTACTAAGGATACTAAGATGCTAGGATTTGCAGGGAACAAATGGAATGAAAATACATTCATGTGAATTGTGGGTTTTTCCATCTCCAAAAGATGATGCAGAAGCCAAGCTGTTTTCAGAGAATGCAAACAGTGGTCATTGTGGTACAGAGGAAGGCTTCTGGGCAAGGAATTGGAAAACTGGAGTTGTTCACATTGATAGATTAACAAGAAGAGTGCTACATTTACACAAAATAGACTGCATTTGACGTGAATGTTCGGGAAGAAGAGGTATTCAGAAAGATGACAAATTCAAACTTCTGAAAAGGAATAGCTTTTCATTTAGTGTAAAATTAGATTGTGGGATGCATGGAATGCAATTGCTAGCCAGGATGTTATTGGGAAGAATAAAACATGGCTTTGGGAGTGTGCAAGGTATGCTGTTGCAGGTGGTATCCACAGATGTTGTAAGTAATGCTTTAAAAACAAATAGTTAGTGATATAAAGCTGGCCAGATTTATGGTTCAACTACTAAGGCCAATCTTGATAGGTTATTTGGGTTCTTTGGTGATAAATTTTTTGTGCCTCTGACTCAAAGTGTCTAGTACCAGATACTGTTTGCGGCAAGGTATTGGGCAAGCTGGGCTGTTGTGACTCAGTATTGCCCTTCCCGTGTGGGTTGTGTTTGGCTTTGCACATCTTATGTTTTCAGAGGTAAGGCAGAGTGAGTAATGTTTCCGTTCCATTAAAGAAAATGGAATGGCAAAGACCCTTATTTTATTTTACTTTATTTTTTTAAAAGATGTACGTGTTTCATTTAGAGTTCCCCTCAGGCAAAGTCAGCTTTGGTAGGCAGCTTAGACTGCATTATAGACCATATTGCTATTGTCATAAAAACAAAATACACCCTGCTCTGTTTTAGGAAACCAAACAAAACCAACATTTTTGTTCTTTTTTTCTTTCTTCCTCTCTCCCTCCTTTTTTTAAATTCCTGCAGTTTCTAATAAGCGACCGTGACAGAGACCCTCAGTGTAACCTGCATTGCTCCAGGTCGCAGTCCAAACCCCTCTGTGCCTCTGATGGCAGAACGTATGAGTCGATGTGCGACTATCAGAGAGCCAAATGCCGGGAGTCGAGTCTGAGCGTGACACATCGTGGCCGGTGCAAAGGTAGGTGGTTTTCAAGTGCTTTTGGAGGGGAAGAATGGGAAGTCCTACCGCATAAGAATCTGGATTCTTAGACCCTTGAGTTTAGTACCATGCTCTGTGAGTAATCTGATTGAAATTGTGCATTCATGTGAGCATGGATATCTGAATCTGGGCTTAGGTGGCAGAAATAAAAACCGACAAAATTATCAGTGAAAAAAGGCAAAAGAGCCAGACATCACTGGAAAAGGGCTGAAATATGTCTGCAGAGGAGTAGGAGCTGGCCCATGGAAATGAAAAATCACATCCTGAAAAAACATCTTCCTTGCTACCTGTGCCAGTGAGGAAGTGAGATACCTTTGAGTGATAGGAATATGCACATTAGATGTCTACTCCCTTTTCAGGCGTCACAGCCTTTCTGTGCTGAGCTAGTTAAGAAGACGGAATACAGGCAAGGTTTTACCTGGTCTTTTTTTTTTTTTTTTTCCTGTTTGCTGTTACATATCTACTTAAATGTGAAAATATTGTTTCTCTCTTGATTCAGCTCTTCAGTATAGTCAGAAGATGAAGTTGAAACTTTTTAAAAGAATATTGGTGTCTTGTCAGACAAATGGTTTGCTTCTGCAGTGAAGTGAAAAATCAAGTTGAGTGCATTTTCTGAGAGCACAATTGACTCAGAGGGCAGATGGCACAGATGTTTTTAGCAATTGGTTAAAGTGACAGGAGAAACTCATTAAAATCCCTGTGGAAGTATAAGTAGGCATATGTTTAAGCCTGGCTTTTGTTTATGAAGGCTTTTTCACTATTATAAAAATGTATCTTTGACAGAATTACTTGTTCTAGAATGGAGATCCCTTTTCAATGTATTGACAAGCTTTATAGTTTAGATGAATTACGAGCATGACCTCAAATATTGCTCTCTTTTAAGCAGTTTCTCACTGGGGGGGAAAAAAACGCTTACTTGTATGATCATTTTTTAAAATTTATTTATTTATTTTCCCTCACCACTGCTTTATGGCAGTTTCTCTCCCTTAGTGTAGAAAATGACCTTTGTATCATGCTGCTTTCTGAATAGTGGAATCCCAGAAGCTTTCTTTACAGGATCCAAGAAGCAGTTGGACTGTTGCAAGTGATACATTTTTGAGTATCATAATAAGAAATGGTAGGGTGGGAGTCCTGCTTTTGCTTTTGTCGCTTTAGCAGAGTGCCTTAGATAAGCAATTCCATGGCTGATACTGGCATATAAACAGGCACTGTTCAGTCACTTAAAACATGGGATCCGAAATGTGGTACATCCATATGCAAAAGTGTCTGTTTCTGGAAGTGGAAAAAATGTTGATTGCTGAACTACACAGCCTAGTGTATATCATGATAGCAAAATGTCCCAGAGAAGTAAGTAAGACTTTCTTGTCTTAAGCACACATAAAGTACACTTCCATTTCTGCTCTCTCAGACACAACTGAAATGCTTAGCTGAAAATACTTGCATTCTCCTTTCCTCTTTTCCTCTTACCAGGTGGTACTATACAGTACCTAATAATGTGGCAGTGTTTGACAACTTCAAGTCTTGCTTTTAACCCACTAACACTCCCATGAATCCTTCAGAAGTAGGATTGTTCTAACTATCACATTCAAATTTAATCTTGCTGGTCATTTCCATGTGTGCTGCTATTGAAAGGTATTAGGAATATGACCTATAATTGTGCATAAGATGACTGTACTTGGCAAAAACGGACAGTTGCAGGACAGATGTGCCTAACTACAGGTAGTTGGCCAGGTCTGTATCTTGCATTCACAAAAAGGAAGGTATCACCAGCAGCATTTGAGCACCTTCCACTGCTGCAGTAAGGCACCAGGTTTACCCTCAACAGCATTCCTTCTACATGACAAAGATGCTCTGGAGGGGAACTCCTATAGAAATGGAAAGGATCCCATGGGCCATTGAGCCTTGCCACATGCAATTGTGATGGATACTGTATCTAAGACCTTATCCTTATGAAATGAGAAATTTTAAATTGTGCTTCCTTTTCAGAGTGGGTGGGAACAGGTAACTAAAGGAAAAGAGGAAGTATATTGTGTACAGCAAGGCACCCCATATTACTATAGGTTTCCAATTTCATATGCTGATAACTTAAACTGTACTTGTGCCAAGGCAAGCAGAATGGTTTCCATAGTGAGAACAGAACCTTTTTGACTCAACTTAGCTCTCTGCTCTCTCTCAAGAAGCTAAGGACCTTTAAAGATGAAATCTTGCTAGCCCTCTGGGAACTATAACTCTTATACAGCTCTTGCTCCTTGCTAGCTTCCTCATGTGCTTTTCAGTGAAATTCCTTCAGTGCCAAATCACCTGAACTCTCTCCGAACCCTCGCTCACCCATCACAAAGGGTTGGAAGTCAGGAGTAGCTTAAAATTACCAAACTATGGCATCCATGACAAATGGAGCCTCATTGATGAGATTCCAGAGAATAGTTCCAGATGGCGTAGCTGTGCATTAAACAACACAGCCAAGCACTCCTACCTGGATCTTTTGTCAGCAGGCATCTTAAGATCTGACGTTAAATAAGAGTTCTGCCTCAAAACTTTGCAGGGATGAAGGACAAATTCTTGTTAAATGAGTACTGCCAAGTTGTTAAGATTGTGCAGTGATTGTTAGGGTATATTTGATATCTGTGGTTTAAAACACACTTAAGTTCTATATTAACTGGTTGTTTTCTAGGGATTTGTTTGGCCTATTTAATTAAAAAAGGGCATGTGAGTGTTCCGAAAACTTCCCTTGAGATTTATAATGCTGGTTGTGAAGGGCTGCTGGTATAGAGCTTGTTCTTAGATCACAAGTCACTATGTAGAATTAACCTATTTGTAAATTACTGGTGGGAATTATAACAGGGGTCTTCAGCCCATCATCAAGGGCACCTGGATCAACACAACTTTTGGCTAATGTACTTGAAAGGAGTGTCTCCTTCTGACTAGTGATGGAGTGGTGGAAGGTAGTCTTTCTCCTCTACCTACTGTTCTCATTGGACAGGAGATCATATTTTGAGATCACTTTGTTTTTAGTTCACTTGGTAGATCCATGTGTTTTGTCTCTAACTTTCTTATTCCTAGCCAAGGGAGAATGAAGTGGGTCCTTCCTTGGCATTAGTTAGTCAACAAAGTCTGAAATGTCAATTTCAATCACTTTGCAAATTTAGGCAAGTTTTTTACGTATGCTCTAAATAAGGTAGGGAACTCTGCAGTAGAAATAGTATGTGGGTATCAAAGGAGGAGAAAAGCACATCAGCATAGAAGGAAAGAAACTGGAGATTCCAGGCATAGGACTTGTCAGAAATGAAGTGGAAAACCATGGGAGAGTGGAGAATGACACCCTGTGGGACAGATAGACACGTTTTTTGTAGTTTGCACAGGTTCCATTTTTGCCTCTTTTTTTGTAAAGACACAGATCACTGGCTGGAGTAAATGGGTGTGAATCTGCTGACTTTAGTGTAGCTGCACTGCTTCGTGCCAGGTGGGGACCTGGCCTGTATGTGAGACTGCTACCTAATGGAACTAGAAAAAGTTCAAAAGCTGCTTGGATCAATTTTTGCCCCTTCAGCTTTTGATAAAGACAAAGTGGAATTAAAATTAAATACCTAGATTTTTATGCTTGTATCATATAGATTTGCTGCTAGTGTTATGTGGATACCTGGAGATGTTTTGCTTGTTCTACTTTGTATTATTAAGATAGATTGAGTCTTTATACCATGGTGCGCAGTGTTAAAACTGCATCTTCCTCTTGAAGAGAGGATGCTGGAATTCTTGGGGCCTGTTCAGGAGTGTGCTGTGTATATTATGAAGGACACGGTGGTCTCATTTGAATAAACTGTTCATGGATAAGATCAGCCACGGTAACCAGCCAACTTCATTGCAAAATCCAAAATTATGTGCACCTGCATTCTGCAGATTAGGCCAGAGATGTCAAAAACATCACTTGTAGTTCACAATCTCCTAGTTGCTAGCTACCAACGCGTGAATGATTTGTCTTTAAAAGGCAGCTTTCTGAATTGCAGTAAATCTGTCCTAAGTTTGAAGATACTAGAAGTCAAATTATTAAACAGCTCTGCTTTGGAAAAAAACCTCATTCTGTTTTGGTTTTTCACCTTATGTAAGGGAGGGGACAAAGTCCTATTTAGTCTGTCTGGACTGTGAAACTGGATTGCATTAATGCCATTCTGTTTTATAAGCTTGGGGTTAGGTATTCAAGAGAACATGTTTAAGAGGTAAAAAAAAGTGCTGAAATACTCAGATAAACAATCGAAATGCAGAATAGGGTATGTGAATCTACATCATAACATCAGGCTTCAGTAAAATTTGTCATGCATCTTATTTGGGGTGACCTATGTTGCAGCTACTTTTCAATACTTGGCACTTATGTAATATTTTACATTTTCTAATTAACATAGCAAAAATAGCAAGGTGAAGTCATCCCACTGAAATCACATGTTGATGCAAACATTATAAAAATACCAGCCCATGGAGTGAGGACAAGAAGGATTGACAGTCCTTTTAAAAACAAACTGGTGACTGTTGATATTTCAGGCACTGTTTTTACTGGAACTGAACTGTGAAATGACAGGCAAAAAAGATAGTGGTATGCACACATTTCTCCAGCCAGGTAGTTGTTCCAAGTCAAGGCTGCAAAAAGGACTGGCATGACCTTTGGAAATAAATGACAGAGGATGGGAGAAGTAATCAGGGCTGAGTGTTCATGAACAGGAGAAAAACTGTCTGTCTTCTCTGCACTTCAGCAGCAGTCTGTGAAGATACATGACTTGAGCCAAGGGTTGAATTGCAGAAGAGGATGCTGCAACAATGATGAGTTCTTAAATGCTGTGTTGTGGTGGTGTGCTACCCAGTGTGGTCTACTGGGTGCTAGTAGGGAGTTCAATCTATAAAGGCCAGTTAAAATTTCCTGGAGTGACATAGCAGTAACATGTTTATATTATCATTTTCTTATACTAAGGGCTTGATTGTGTGCATGTTTGTCTGCTCCTTAGACAAACTGGACAATGATCAAGAGTTGGTCTCCCTTGTGCCTGGGCTCCTAAAGTATTTGTACTACAGAGGATACCACAAAGTGATTGTTCTTACCAGCCATGTGGTGAAAACATCCATTTTCAGCCATGTAGTTGAGTGTGCCAGCACTAAAGTAGATGCTATGTGGAAATGCTTTATGCTTCTGTTTTATGTTCAGGAAAGGAACCAGATATGCCTGTCTGCAGTCCTGTATAGTCAAATGGAGAAACTAGAAAACACACTTTCATTTGTGAATCTGTGCTTTGACTGTCATTTGAGAAATTTGCAACTCTTTACCCACACCCCTTTATATGTGCAGGTCTGCATAATCTAATGCTAAAATGCTGATTTTCTGCTACTTAGCTGTCTCCTGTGAAACAGAACTTGAAAGTGTTTTTAGCCAGACAGCTAGCTATAAAACAGAAGGTGCAGCCGTACCATCTGGTTTTGTAATAATGTCCTATGTCATGCCAAGCAAGATTAGACTTCTAAGCTTGAACAGGAGATCTGCAGGTGGATTGGTGTTCCCATTGACAGCATTGCCAGTGCTTCCTTTTCAGCTGAGAGAACAAGCATGCGTTGGAAGGGTCGGTACTGCTGGCAAGACCATTCTCCAGCGGAGGTGTGCAAACAAGGTCTGATCATCTGGTCACTTTGGCAAGTTGGGGGAAAAAGGAAATTCCAGCTTAGAGGTTATATTATGGGTAATTAGAAAAACAAGTACTGTTTCTCTAAATTCAGTGGAAATGTTATTCAAGAAAGTCTTTTCATTCTGTGAGTAACAGTCTTGCTTTCTATACAAGCTCATGATAGGTCCACCTGAGATCAAAGCTCCATGTGCTAAGGGTATTGTGCAAGCACCCCACAAACAAATTACAGCCTAAAAATGAGTGACATAGGATCAGAAGGGACATTAGGCTTTAGGGAGGTGAGATGACCAACTTACAGTCACTCAGTGGGTCAGTGGCAGAGTTGATATAGTCACTCTTGCTTTGTAACCCAGTGCCTAAGATACAGGCATTTGTGCTGAACACTATTACAGTGAATGACTTTTTCCGAAGAGGAGAGTTTGATTTCCATAATTTCAGAAGATTTGTGAAATCCTTTTTGGGGAGTAATGTGATATGTTAAAATGAAGCTGTGTTGGCAAAGCAGAAACTTATTCTCTTGAATCATCAGTTGTGTAAATAAAGTTCTCAGCTTGAAAGCGTTGGTCGTTGTCTTTATGAAAACTTTTTACAGCATTGTCATTGATTTCTGCATCTAGATATGTTTAGATGGAGATCACTTCTATTGCCATGCAATGTGAATTCAGTTGATCTGAGAACCCAGACTGGCTTTCTAATTCAGTGCTGGTATTAGTGATTCTGTCATTGAAGTCTTTGTGAAGCAGATTATGGGATCTTCATGGATCCAGTGGAACTTTTTTGATAACCAGTGTGGTTTCTCTGCCTGGTAGAATGGGGATTCAACCTTGATCGCTTTCTATAGTGCTGCTGAAAGATTCTCATGATCAGAGTTTGTGGTTTCTGCATTGAAAATCTTGCAGTCAGTGGATTCATGGGAAAAGGAAGAATGTGCTAGTCCAAGAGAGTTAGATTCTCTTGGAAACAGGTGTTTGTCATTTTTCTTCTCTTTCTAGACTGAACAGCAATACTGTGAGACATCATGTTTTTAAATGTAAACACTGGGTCGATCTGTATCTCTGGAGGGCAGAACTGTCCTCTTTGACCCATCAGTCATCAGTGTTAAACTTATGAGGGTTTATGCTCTGTAACAGTGAGCTGGACCTGGAAGGGGTTAAGGGCATGCTACCTGCTGCTATCATCTGAAATAAGTGCAGAGCTGAGATCTTAAGTCTTTCAAGTTCTGCTTGCAGAACAATGTGTTTTTTTTTTCTTGGCAGCAAAGTGAGTAACTTGTATGAGAAAGTATAATGCACACCTGGCTGTGAGCACTGGGACTGGAGGTAGAAGCTGGGCTTCAAGAATGCACAGGCATTCTGAAGCACACAAAAGTGGAAATTCAGATGGGTGGCTGGCTATTTTAGCATTTTACTGAGAGAGTTGCTCAGAGAAGAAGCTTTACTGGGAACATCCCTTCTTCCACATTGCTCACTTCTGGGCCTGAATTACTTGCTTTATACTCAGCCATCCAGTTTGAGGCTGCTAATATTAATATAAACACAACTACCTCCAGGAGGGCCTTTCACTGTGTGGACACTCTGCTCTAGCACTTGTTGGAAGAAGCTTCCAGACCCCTTGCATGACCATAAAAACTATTAACTAGGAAATTAGGCAGGTCTTTAATAAATAGCTCGTAGTTTGATTGTCCAGGTTCGTATTTGTCTTTGGGGTCATGAGTGCTAACTCCTCATTAATGTGCAGGTAATGGTCCTTGATGCCTTATGTTTGTTGTTTTGGTTTTTCTTTCCACCAGCAGCTGTGTGGTGCATCTGGTAGCTTTTGAAGAGGCCAAATAGTGTTTGCAATCTAAGTGAGTTTTGCTTTTTTTTTTTTTTTGTAGATGCTGGCCAAAGCAAGTGTCGATTAGAGAGAGCTCAAGCACTGGAACAGGCAAAGAAGCCCCAGGAAGCAGTCTTCATCCCAGAATGCAATGAGGATGGATCATTCACGCAGGTAAAATTCCTATTGGCTTCCTTCAGCCAGACTCCCAGTGGCTGCAGGAGATTCACTGTTAAAGCATGAGCCAAGTGTGACAGCATCATGGTCCACACTCTGTCTGACTTAGTTACTCAGGTGAAAGTGCTGAAAGCGCTGAAAGCTGGGGACTCGTTTAACCAACTGGAAGCTTTGATTCAGCCACCATATCTTAAACTGTATCTTAAAAGACACATACATATGTAATGGTATCCGCCTCCAGAGGTGCTACAGCAAAACCAAGTTGCCTGGGAGGTCAGTTTTTCTCTGAAGATGAGCTGCGGCTCTCGCAGAGCAGGGTAGACCAAGCTTCTTCTGCTGTTACCTGTGTTTCATCTATCCAACCAAAAAAAGAGTGGTCTATTCAGCCTCTTACCTCTGCAGGGTACTTGTTACTGACAGACTCCTCTTTCCTCTTCTATGCCCTGTTGTGGTTTGAGGGTCTGGCAGAGAGGTGATGTGACTGCTTTGTTTGTGTTTTTGATGCTTCACTGGTCACTTGCTGGAACTAAGTGATGTCCTGACATTGTAGACTGATTCATAATGCTGCTTCTCTTGAGAAGCAATTTCCTCAGGCAGGGCTAGCAGAAGAGGCTTATGGTTTGTTGGCCTTTAATAATCTGTGAAAAACAAACAGTCAGTCCTGGTCACTGATCACCCTTCAGAAATAGTTGAACTAGGAGAATTCCAGAGAAGCTGAAGTAGTTATGGCAAAAATAAAGCCCTCATGAAGGAAATTTTGAGAGGAAGGGTAGGTTTTGCTGAGGCAGGGTAGAAATGAAGAGTGATACTTCTTCTGTTACCATTAGAATAATGAGTAGCATCCTAGTGCTAACTGGATGTTAAAAATAGCTTATATGCAGTTCCCTAATAGGTAGGAGGGGTATGCTGTCTGCTCAGTTTGGCATGCATATCAAAAGCTAAAATCCTACAACCCTGATGACTTCTATTTTGTGAACTTGGGTAAATCATGCAACTTTTTTTTTGCCTTAGCCTCCCTATAGCTAAGATTTCTCTAGAGACCTGGTGCCTCAGAGGAATTTTAGGATTCATTAGTTATTACTTGCAAAGCCTTGAAAGTAAAAAAAAAAATAAAAAAATAAAAATTCCAAATTACAATCAATATTCACTTTAAAAAGATGAGAAAGACAAAAAGCTTTGGGATTGGTTCAAACACTTTGTGATGCCTGGGGGAAGAGGAGAGGAAAGATTATGTTTTTGTGATAACCCACTAAAAATTTTTATTCCCCCCCTCAGCCTTACCTTCCCATTATCTGGTGTGTGGGAGTGGTTTTGTTTTGTTTTTTAATGGTGAAGTGGAAAAAGTTGTATCCATCCTGCCAATTTTGCATACTTTTTTGAAGCAGCATCATATTTGTGTATAGTGTGGACCATCTTGGGAAGGTGGGGAGAAGAAAGAAGGTGGCTGCAGTTTCTTGCAGTCTTAACTACACTTTGAGTTGTCAAAATTTGATATTTGTGTAGAGCTGCTCAGGTTATGTTGGCACTGGAGGGAATACTTATAAAACCTAGCACAGTGGGCCAACTAAATGTTCCATGTTAAACTTTATAGTCCAAGAAAAAAGGGGGAAGGAAAGCTGACTTTCCAATGTCTCTGTCGCATGTCCATCAACCTCTTGGAGGGTAAAGTAGGAGGTGCAGGTGACACTTTTAACCTAACAAGCTGGACTGAGAGTGCAGCTGATAAAGCTTTGGTTTAGGTTAATTTGGAAGGTTGGTACCTGCATCTGGATTATGGAGCAGTTGCTGGGCCTCTTTTCTGCACATTCCCAGGCCAGTGTGTCTTGCCAGTGGAGGGGCAGCATGAAACTGCTTACAAAAATTGTGTGTTTTCAGCTGGCAGCCAAGCGATATTTCGCATTCTTCCTTCATCCAGTCCTATCTGTGAACACTAAAATCCTTTTGTTTTACCTGGCATGATGAAGGAAGACTCTGATCCCTTTGTAGCTGGAGTTAACTGAAATTCATATCATTCCTTGGATCGTAAAAATACCCTGTGTTCCACATACCTCAGGAACCAGCTTCATCATTTATATTGTAGCAGTTTAAGGTCATTGTTCCTGCATAAGATGTGAATGAAAAACAGCTTCTGAAGAAGCTAACTGTTTTCAGCGTGCATTTGAGACAAATATTTCCTTTGGCTTCTGGTCCAAATTAATTAAACTTTGATTTTTTTTTTTTTTTAAAGGATGTATGAAAACTATAATTTTTGTGAACAGTCTAAACAATTTTTGCTTCCAGCAACTCATGAATGGAACTCATCTGGTGAAGGTGGTGTGGATACTGCATCTCTTGTGCAGAGAATTGGTGCTCCTGGGTTCTGCTTTGCAGGGAAGCTGTGTAGGCCAGTTCTTGAAGTCCTCAAGGTCTTGCTGAAGTCAGCTGTGAACTGTTATTAGTTTATTCTCATTCAGTACCCAGAGAGTTGCTCCATCCAAACTCCAAAATCTCAGTTGGGAAGTCCAGAACAGAGCAGCCTCTCTCAACAAAGTTTCTAGGAGAAAAACCCACTATGCTCTTCAACCTTAAATGACCATCCCAACAAGAATCTAAGCAGATGCATATGCTTCAGGGTATACCTTGTATGTAGAGTTGGCTAGGGGCATTTTTTCAACAACTTTCCCCCTTCTGTGTTACTGCTATTGCAGGAATATTTTGGGTAGAAGAAAAATTCTGATCATAGGGGAAACGAAGATGCCTGCCGATGTTTAGAATACCAAATGCCTTAATAGTTACAGTGCTCACTCAAGATGTGGATGACTTGCTTTCAGTTCTTGAGCTAAACTTTTTTGTAGATGTGGGTTTGGGAGCCGCACTTGTTAGTGATTACTATATGTTCGCAGAACCTGCTTGGTCTTAACCAGATTGAACTGTTGGTTTTGTGGTTTATCTTCATCGTCTTGATTAGAAACTGAATTGCAGTCACTAGGGATTAACACTGAAAGCAGCCCAAGTTGCCCTTTCCAGTTCCTGGAATTGCATGCAGTACAAAACTGTGTGAATATGGGGCCAGATCCACTTCAAATTGGGTGGGGCTTTTGGATAGTGAAGAGAATATACCTACTCTGCTGTTCTGTGACCGGCAGCATGTACTGCATGGGACACTACGCTCACCTTACCTCCTCCTCCTCCTTTGCTTCCCTGGAGGGCAACTGGCTCTGACACCCAGCAGTTGGATGTGGTAACAAGGGTGAAATGGAGGAGGCCCTGAAGGCAAAGACCTTGATCTGCCTAGCATTAAATCCTGCATTAGAGAGGATTAATGTGTGTCTTAAATAATTGTGTAATCTCTTTTTCATTGTCTATAAAGTATAGACTGAAGTGTGGCCACCAATTCTATTGCTTGGATTGCTAGCTTTCCTAGGCACAGCTAGTCATAATGGGTTTTGTGTGCTGTGTATAGAGGAACAGGAACCTGTTGATTCACCGGTTTTCATAACTTTCTGTGTACCGTGTGTGCTGCTTCCATTATTCTTGTGTATTGCAAAGATCTTATCAAATCCCTTTTTAGCACTGCTGACACGCCAGAAAATGTGGCATGGATCTGCAGCATGGAAGAGGTGGTGGCATTGCAGGCATGATGTGATGACTGTAAATGGGGGCAGATGGTGAGGAATTGCTAATTCTTTATATTTCAGTCTGTTAGGGGAATATTACTTCCTACAACAAAAGATCTCTGCAATTAGTCCATGGTAATACAAGGATGCAGATGAAATTTGAGTTGTTCACAACATAAGAATGTTTGTTTCATATGAATAATTTCATTAATTGTATAAAACCGAGGTCATGTACTGTTGTGCAAAATTGACGTGACTGAAACCAGTTTCTGTTTCCAAGACTTGCTCTCTCCTTTTCGCTGTTATGCTGTATTTTGCATAAATGCCATTCCCTTTCCATGCTGCACTTAACCTGCTGTGATCTGTTCTTCATAAACAACAGGCTCTATTGGGTAATCTGCACACTTTCTTTTGCTGCCTAGTGCCGTTGGGCTTGTTGCCATGGGCTGAGAGAGACTTGCATTCTTCATAGTTTTCCCCCGAGCAGTTTTTTAGAAAAGGTTGCTGAGGTTTTAAACAGGATCCATTTCAGACAGATTAATATGAACATGAATAACATTAACTCTGCTTTGGGGGTGTAGCCTTGAGGGGCTTTTTGTGGTGTGTCTTGCTGTGGTTTCTTTTCCTTGCAAGTCTGCATACAAGTGGCTGAGAGCAAGTCCTCAGTTTCTTAGAGTTTCTTTAAGTCTAGGACTCAAAACTGCAGCTGCTTGGTGCAGTTAGGATGCAGCACTGAGATTTCTCTTAAAGCAAGTGCATCAGTCACACCTGTCATCTTTTGACAGGATCAGTGAGAGGACTGACTTTGTCAGAGCAATTTTTTGTTATCAGATAGCTTCCAGAGCACTCCCACATCTGGTAATAAAAGTCTGCTTGGAAATAGTGATCTGCATCACGTTCCATAGCAATAGTTTAATTCTGTACTATGCTAATGCATGTACAAAGTACTGTTTTCCCCTAAGTTCCATGAACAGACCCTTTCTAAAGTCTCCTCTGCACTGGCTAGTGTAGTGTGATGCTGAGCAGAATTACAAACTCATTTCTTAGTGCAACATGGGGCTCCAGGGCACTGTGTAGACATGTCCTGCATTCCCTGGATACTGTCTGTTATTCCATTATTCAGTGCTCATACTCTAGCTACTAAGCTCCCAAGGACTTAACCTCTCCTTTCAGAATGAAAGAACACAGTCTGTCTTGATTGATTAAAGAAACTCTTTCTTCAGAAAAAAAACTGGGCTTTAATTAGTAGGTGCTTCTGGCTTTTTTTTTTTTTTTTTTTTTTTTTTTTAAATAAAAGGTATGTCTTCTGTGGAAAACAGTAGCGGGAGCTCTCTGCAAATATTGCTCTGCAGATTTGTCTGCTACGTATGCACTTGGCTTTCGTCCCGCAGCTCTTACTGT